AATAACCTCCATTATTGCTAAACTGAGAGGTATCTGAGCAGTGATTTATCAAATTGTTGGAGCTATAATTCAACTATCTTATTGCATTTGTACTTCCAACAGTAATGTGGGTTGGCAGCTTATCTCAGGCTGCTAAGAGGCGCCTAGCGACACATACACACATATTTTTAATGTCACTGAATGTTTTACAGTTTATTCTTTTATTATGTAGCTACAGAACTTTAGAATGCCTCTCAAAGTTTAAACTTAACACCAAAACTGTGAAACTTAAAAATAACTAGAAGCTGAAGTCTGAGTTTGACATGTTAGATTTTTCTCCATTTGTTGAGATTGTATTTTCCATGGCCCCAGACTTTCTTCAGCCTTCTCTGTCTCCTTTTTTTTTTTTTTTTCCTATCCCCTCTTACAAGTGAACCCTTTTTCAACTCCCTCAACTTCCTCCCATCACTCACAACTGTCTCTCTTTAGCATGTTTGGTTTGAGAGACATTTTCCAGATGTGAAGGTAACAGGCAAAGATCCAAAAACCAAACACACATGACCCAAATCTTGAGTCTGGTCCAATATTCCTAATTCTCTGAGGATGAAAATGATTCAATTTACTACCCTGTGCAACAGCTTAACTATGTAAACCGTGATTACATTTTGAAAATGAGGTGAATCTAAACGTAATATAATGTATAGTACATAGTATATGTTGTATCTCATAATAAAATATAACTGTTAAGTAGGAGTAACTTTATCCATTTATTCTTTAATTCATTCATACAGCCAATTGGTGACAGGCCTCTGCAAGGCCTTAAGATTTAGTTAGAAGTTAGCTTTTGACTTCAGATTTAAGTTACAAAGGTACTTTAGGATTTGATGGTTAGATGTCAGTGCAAAGGGAGTAAGAAAGACTGAGAAGTCATTGTAGCATGAAGGGTCCTGTTGAGAATGATGACACACACCTGTTCCCCACCTTGGACATAGGTTGGGGCAGGTCGTGGAGCCTCATAGAAATTTAGGACTTCGATATCACTTCTAACACACAGAGTCTTCCTTTTTTGACAACTAAGGAATTACCTACTTCATTCCCATCACGTTCTTAAAAGATAGAAAGTGGAAATATTTCAAAAAGATCTTTTTAGAGTGGATAAAAATCAATGTCAAAAATGTTACAGGACTTTTCTAAAGCCGTATCACCAGGCAATGACATATGAATCGATTCGATCACGGCCACCTGATTCCTGGTGTACAGCTCCTCACATTTGGCCATTTTTCTGCCTTTGTTGGACTATGATTCATTCTGTCCTTGTTAGACATGTGCTTTGGTATTTTTGCTTTTGTCTCATAGCAGAGATCTCTGAGTCTGACCTTAATGCCACTGACTCATTCTCCATGTAACAAATATCCCAGGTGGAAAGAGACAAATATGGCCCTCATCCCCAGAACGTGGGCTGGGAGCTCTGAGTCGTGTTTCCAGCCACTGATGTCCTTTGTCCCTGCTATTGCCATCTTGTCCTTCTGGGATGTGTCGTCCTGTAGGGGGCATTCCTCACTCTGTCCTCGGCAACTCGCTGATTTAAACGCCTATAAACCTCACACCTAACTGGACCAAGTTCAGTGTTTCACACTGAAGTTTTGTTGAAGTGTTATAGAATACGTTATTTTAGAAAAAATGAAATGACGACGGTACTGCACAGTAATTAAATTTACTTAAAATCCCCTATCTAATCCTATATCTAGAAGTGTGGCGTATAATGTAATGAGCATGTTGTAAATAGACTGAGCAACACTCTGGCATGAGAGCAGCCCAGTAAGAGGGAATGGAGGCTTTGATGGTTAGAAACACATTTGCAAGCATGAAGTGCTTCATGTGTGACACACATAAACAGAGTCATGGCTGAAGCAGATTATGCTAGTCAGAGAGGGGCAGAGTGAAACTAGCAGAAGTTGATAAAGCGTACTTTTAATTGTCAAATCTGCCCCATAGAGCCTGCTTACTTCAGCCAAATACAAACCCATGGCTTTTTCAACTTTATGGGATCACAGAAGCCATTGAAGATCTGATAAAAGCTAGGCACTTGGTCGAGAAAACGCTCAGATGTGCAGATAATTGCAAAGTTTCATGGATTCCAGAAGCCCAGAATGATCATTTTGCTGCTTGTCAGTCATTCAGGATCAATCATTCACATAGTGTTGGAGAGCAAGGGGAACATGGAAAGGCAAATTTGCATTCCAGTTAGATACCAACTTCTGAGCATTGCTTGCTCGGCTTTCTCCTTACCTTAGGTCCCATGCACATGGGTCTCTAGCTGCTGAAGTTCGATGAAAGAAGGAGACCCAATTTCACTACATATTTAGAAATTAGCAACTAGGGGATATTGCCCCCAAATTTGCTCTGACCCACCAGCAATACAAATATAACAAATGCATGAGGAGCAGTTTACCTAATAGTCACATAATTATGTAAGCCAGGCTCTTGACTAACTTCTGAAAAATTAAAGCAGGTGTGCATAAAGTATTGCCAAGTGCATAGTCTAAACAGCAAATTTGCAAATTCTGCTTAGTGTTTTAGTCAAGATACAACTAAAGAGAAATGTCACAGACTATAATGGTCTCCTCTTCACATCAATTATTTACTCAGTGAAGATACTCTTTTCCAGGCTGACTGATAGCCTTGGAAATGAAAATTGGCTGTCTGGCCCACAAAGTTGCTTTCCTTCTCTTTATAAGAAAGATAGGGTGGTTTTAAATAGATAAGTTGGAGGTGAAAGGTATCCCCTATTAGCCAAGTCTGAGTTTTTAAATTTAGATCCATAACTAAAAGATTCTGTAAGCCCTACAATTAAGGCTACTCTAATTGTTCCTTCCTCTTTTTCTCAACACAAACAACAAAGAAGAAATAAGACAATTTTTAAGTTATGTGGAATATCAGTAAACTTATGTGTGGCTTTGAAAGCTTTGTAAGATCACTACAATTCAAAATTATAGTACTTAAGTGTTCATTAAAAAATAGCAATAAAGATTAGTCAAAATTTCTTCTTAAATATTTCCAAGTGGCTAATGACATTTATACAGATGAAAAAGGTAAAAGTCATCCTTATGAAATACAGTGGTAGCACAATGCTGGAAAGTAATAAAATTCCATTTCTGCCCTCACCACTTCAACCTTTTCTTTCTGTGACCAGAGGAAAACAGCGACTGACTGTAAGTGTTCAATGACTCACGCATGGACACTGCCCCTGACAGTGTAAGATTTTTCCTTCTGTGCTACTTCAGTTCAGTAAAATCACAATAAGTCTAAGAATGTCTTCTTTGTTGCTCAGGAAAACATAGTCATTCATGAGGCTGGGGAACCCTGGCTACCAGGAAACCTTCATGCAGATGACAGCAGTGTGCAGAGCTTGGGGACAACTATTGCAATTTCCATGTGAGAGTATATTAGGAGAAAGGAAAATAAATCGAAAGCAGGTAGCAGAGCAAATGTAGATATACACCATTTGATTCGAAAATCTGTGCTAAAGGCCAGAATACATTAAGTTCTTTTGCGCCAAAAAAAAAAAAAATCTCCAAAGGAAAGTCATTTTTTTCTTCCAAAACAGCCTTCCGTGTTTTCTTTGCCACTTCACTTACATGATTCTATTAAGGTAAAACTCTCCATTTTCCAGTGAGACTTGCTTTCAAGTAATTGTTGAGACAGCTAAGCAGAGTACTTAGCAAAGTGATTTTCTAAACAACTTGTCATGATGTCGGGGGTTTACTGGGAAACCTTCGAAATACAAATGCATGACAAAATAACATGCCAAATGTAAAGAAGTTTAAGGTAAGTTCTGCTTTGTAGCTTAAGAATGAAAGATATCCCCACTTTGGGGAAAAGAGAAAGAAAGAAAGAATTTGAAAAGTGACTCAGAATTAAACTACCCAGATCTTTCTGAGTCTTCATAAAGTATGGGATTTGTTTGGAGAGCTGTTAGGTTTCAGAACGTTAATCACATCTATATTCAAATGAAAGAATCAAAACACTTTGCTGAGTCACGTATCAAATATCTTAGACTGTGCCACTGATGCTATTAGATAAGCAGGGAACCAGTTAACTACCTTTTATTTGAAATGATTCAAAGTTTTGAACTAATTTTATATAGACAATTATTTCTCACATGCAGTGGGAATAAACTGGGGCAGTATTTTCAGTTTATCCTCATACCTAGCTTTACCTGCTACCTCTGGATGACTCCAGACGAATATCTCCAGCCCAAATTGCTTCTCAAGGGTCAACTTCCAACTAGATATCTTCATTTAGATATCTCATGGGCCCTCCAACCCCAAATGCCCCAAACTAACTATGACATTTCCCCTCAGTTTTAGTCTCATAAAGTACCACCATCCAACAATCATCTATAAGAAATCATCTTCAACTCATGTACTCATGTAAAACATCATCACGTTCTAAACACTATCCTTCCAGCGCATTCTACCTTCTGAATATCTCTAAGATTTCTACACTTCCCTGTAGCTCCAATCCCACTATATTAGTTGGAGCCTTTGACATTTCCCTTCAGGATTTCTATAATAAGCTTTTTCCTTTTTAGGTTGTAGGGTCCTAGAGCCTCCCGTCATCCTGATACCACAGCGATCTTTCTAGGAGTCAAGACTGGCCATGAAGTCTTTACTTAAAATTCTCCAAGAATCTTCACCACTTTAAAGATAGTTAATACAGATAACGGGGTCTTCTTACTTGACCTGGCTCTTGCCGTTGGTAGTAGGATGAGGCTCAGGTCTCATTTGAGGGTGGTTGTGTAGACAGACTTTGCCTTTATATGCTAAAGAGGTACATCTGTTGACTGATGTTTTTAGAAATCAAAATGTCATCAATCATTTTTTAAACCAAGACTTTATGTGACATATTTCTCTAAGCTTAAATGAAAATCAATTGTAGTCAAGTGGAAAAAGTTAAATAAAGCAGAAAAATAATAGTAATGAAAAACAGATATATATATATATGTCTGCAATTCTTACCCAATGTCTGCTGGAAAGATACCTTCCATCCTCTTGCTGTTTGAAATGAATCTGTCTTGAACACCAAAAGCATACTGTTACTGGTGCTCTTAAAATTCGGTGGGAGCTTAGAACCACAGAATTTGCCAAGAAGGGGATCACTGATGTTAGAACCATCATAAATTGCCAGGTAGTCGTTGGAGCAGAAGGCAGAGGGAACCACATCAAAATCATTGAACCTGTGAAATACACTTTGTTAATACTGATGTTCTCCATTTGGATTTCCATTAAATTGTACTACTGGTACAGGTTTAAAAAGACAAGGCAAAAACTAACAGCAGAACATCCAAGTTGCACTTGATAGGAAATATTAGAAACAGACACTACTTTACCAATCAGGTCAAAAGTTTAGCCAAACTTTTTGGAGTAACAACAATATGCCAAAAACTGTGATAGAAGCTGAGGGTGTAAAGATGGGATATGTACCGTCAGTCCTACACTTCAAGGAGTTTACAGTCTAAGACATTAAAGTCCACTTGACATCAAGTTTTGACAAATTGAAATAATACTTATTGATTATTCCAACGGCACTTTAGTTTTTCAGTTTCATTAAAAATATGGTATTTACTCTTCCCTTGTTATTTTGTGAGATAAAGTGGTACTATCATACTATGCTTTACTGATGGGAAGAATGGTGATGTACTAGAGAGGAGGAAATACTGGTTTTAGAATCATAGCTCCATTCTCATTCCCAGAGTCTCTCTTTCCCTCCTTTAAAATAAAGTTTACAGTGAAGTTAAGTGCAAAAATATATAAAAACCAAACTACGATATCTGGCATAGAGTAGATACTCAAAAAAAAAAGAAGTAATTATGATGAGGAGGATGATTTTGAAAAGCAGGAATACAAAATAACTTGTTTCCCATAAAAGATGTAAAAATACAAAACTAGTGATAGAAAAGAGTGAACTAAATTCTGTTGAGTCTCAGTTGATTGCTCCAATAAGAAATTCACATCTAAGGTCATTGTGTTCATCACTGGAACTTCCCAACACGGTCCCAGCTCTCTGCCTTCCCAGCACTTGGTAGGATTGCCCTGATGTGCATACTCTGGGGTCTGACATGGCTGTAGGATTTGCTTTGGCCATGGAAATGTAAGCAGAAAGGATAGGTATTATTTTATGGCAGAAGTTTTAAAAACTACCACTTGCTTTGCCACGGTGCCTTCCCACTGCAGTGATAATGATGGTAGCACATGCAGAAATGAAGCTTCCATCAGCCTTGGCTGCTGGGAGGCCCTGATGAGCAGAGCTTGCCTGCCAGGCGACAGCAAACTCACTCATAGGAATGAGAAAGAAACTCGATGAGTTAAACGGCTGTGCCTTGGGGTTATTTGTTATCACTTATCACCTATCCTGACAGATACAACCCTAACTTTTCTCTATGACCTTACCCAGTACTTTAACATAGGCCTTATGCTTTATCATTTTAGGTAACTATTACCAAAAGTTTCCAAACAAGTGAGGCTACCAACATGGTTTGACTTCAGGATTTTATTATGGGTTTATTATAGCTTATTTTTTAAACTTGTTTAAATTATTTGATATCCTATCCTCATTTTTGTACGTTCTTCTGATTTCTCTTATTTTTGTTTGAAATTTTAATAAATAACACATAATATGGAATAATTTTGGAAATTTCTAATAATTAAATATTTCCTTTTAAGAGCCTTAAGAAAAAGAATCTGATAAATTTTTTTCTAAGATTTTGGTTGGTTGAATGTTTTTAAACTGATGATAAAGATCAAGATGAAAAATTCTTGATTTTCTTTTACCAAGTTTAATATTTAATGTTTTTGTAAAAGATGACAAGGGCAGAACAATAGCTAGATAATTTTCAACAAAACTACATTAATTTTTATTCACTATAGACAATATGTTTATTTTCCACAATAAGAATCCACAAAGAAAGATAAAATGTGACTTTCCAAGAGGACTCAAACCTGTTTTGGCTTTTTGATTTTGCATTATTTTCCCATGAGAGCACAAAAGATATCTGGAGCTGCCTGCTGACAGGAAACCTATATGGCCCATCTATTTTGAGAGCCTTGCTAGAAGGATTTATGTTTTACTAATGTCTGCATCTTCTACAGCATCTAGAATACTATCTGTTTCATAGAATGTAGGCTCTTAGAAAGTACACAATAATTTTCCAAACGTGGATATAAATTGACTATGATAAGCTCCAGAATCCAGGCTGAAAACTGGAAAATATATGTATATTTTATATTTTACATATAATATAAACATATATCTATGTTAGTTGAGATATATGTATGGCATATCAACCATGGTCTGAATGTTTGTATCCCCCAAAATTCATATGTTGAAATCCTAACCACCCAGGGGATGATATTAGGAAGTGGGGCCTTTGGGATGTGATTAGGTCACAGGGGTAGAGCCTCATGAATGGGATTAGAGCTCTTATAAAAGAGAGACCTCTCACCCCTCCCACCACATGAGGACACACAAGAAAGCATGTTTTATAAGCCAGAAAGTGGACCCTCACCAAACACTGAATCTGTCTTGATCTTGGGCTTCCCAGCCTCCAGAACTATGAGAAATCTTGTTGCTTATAAGCTAACCAGTTTTAATATTTTTTTATAGCAGCTTGAATGGACTACAAGTGTAAGTAACAAATACTGTGCCCCAGAAGCAAATGAGAAGATCTACTCCTTATGCTTCCATTCTTAGGCAGGCAATTCCTTCACAGGCCTCCTGCTCCTGACCATCTGGCAGTTTTTGTTCTTCTTTTGTCCCTAAGACCTACAGAATTCTTTGGCTCTGGGGCAGTTTCCTTACAAACAGTCCCAGGTGGGATCTGTAGTTTTCTTCAAGGTCCAGCCTACAGATTACTTACTATCTGATGATGGAACCAATTCAGGCTTCACGAGACCTGTTTTATAGTCCAAGGATACAACTGATATACGAGGTCTCTGGAGGGAAATTGCAGAGAGTTTGTAATCTTAGGGCAGAAAGTGATCACAGACAAATATTGGAGAGGTAGGTAAGTTTGGGCTCAGCCCATCAGGCTTCTATGTGGAAAATCTTATATTGCCATGAATTCCACCAACTTTCAAAGTTTTCTACCACATGCGGTGTATCACTGAAACACGAGAGTTAGAAATAAGCCATCTTAGATGAAAGCAGTCTTGAACTTTACCACCTTAAAGAACAGGAGGCTTCATTTCTCTCATCAGTCTTGTTGAGAGGACATAGTATTAGCAGGAGAATTTACTAATGATGTAAGATAGCTCTTACAGTGCCAGTTTAAAGGTGTTCTGATACATAAATTTTAAAAAGTTTCTTAAGTAGTTAGAAAATTTATCTTTCAAGAAACAGCCCAGGGAAATACTAAGGACATGGTCTTTGGAGAAAAACCTGACATGGGTTCAGATTTTGACACTTCATTGAAATATGTGTTACTTTGGGACAGCCATTTGACCCTTTGAGCTTCAGTTTTCTCATCAGTGAAATGAGAATAATACAAGGGTACTTCAAAAACTTTGTGGAAAAATAGATTTAAAAGATAATACAGGGCCGGCCCGGTGGTGCACTCAGTAGAGTGCGGCACTTGGGAGTGCGGCGGTGCTCCTGCCGAGGGTTCGGATCCCATATAGAGACCGGTCTGCTCACTGGTTGAGTGCGGTGCGGGCACGACACCGAGGGTTGAGATCCTGTTACTGGTCACGAAAAAAGACAAAAAGGAAAAAAAAAAAAAGATGATACAAATCTTTCCATGAGCTTTTTGAAGCACCCTTGTGTGTGTGTATGCTGTGGTTTGAAAGTTCCCCCACGTTCACATTGGAACTTAACCCCCAATATGGTGATAGAAGGTAGAGCCTCTAAGAGGACTGTGTCCTTGTGAATGGACTGATCCATTCATGAAGTAATGGGTTGGTGGCTTAATGGATTGTCATGGCTGTGGTTCTGATGGCTTTATAATGGGAGCTAGTGAGAAGGTTAGCTCTGTGGCTCAGGACATTCTTGCCATGTAACACTTTGTATCACTGTAGAGTCACCACCAAGAAGAAGGCCCTTGTCAGGTGTGCCCCCTGGACTGTGGACTTCCCAGCCTCCAAAACTGTAAAACATAAATTCTATTTTTTAAAATAAGTTACCCAGTTTCACGTATTCTGTTATTATCAACAGAAAATGGACTAATACTATATGTGTGTGTATGTATATATGTATGTACCTCAAATGAGTGTTTTGAAAATAAAACAGGACAAGTATGGAAAGTGCTAATCAAATTTCCTTGTGTATAATAAATGCCCAACAAATGATAACTGCTTTCTCTTGCCCTTCCTACCCCCTTTGACTTCAAGAGAGGCTTACAACTTAACCCATTATATGAAGTTCCTTTGCAATTGTTGGAGAATTTTAATTAGTATTTTAACTGTGGATTGTATCTGTTCCTCCCCCCTTAATTGCAATTGGCTTGCATTGAGGGAGGGAGGGTAGGAGGCCCATTTCCCAGGTTTTACTACCATACAGGAACCTCACTTCTCTTTCCTCTAAATTTTCCTATAGAGTGTTGAGGAGAATCAGTGCTCTCCATCAGTAAACAAATATCTTTTCTAAAAATAAAGCTGGGAGGGGTTTCTTAAGAAAGCAAATTAGGGGCCGAGCCCATGGCGCACTCGGGAGAGTGTGGCACTGGGAGTGCAGCAGCGCTCCCACGGCGGGTTCGGATCCTATATAGGGATGATCGGTGTGCTCACAGCACTCACTGGCTGAGTGTGGTGTGGCCCGTCTCAAAAAAGGACAAAAAAAAGAAAGCAAATTAGTCTTACATACTTGAGCTGGATCACTCTGTTGTCCCTAACGGTGATGTTATACAGACAGTGCATATCATTTGGGTAGTCCGTATATGAATAGGCAGGACTCCTGATGAACCCACTGGAGAAGTTGAACACACCACCACAGGCTGCAGAGAAGACAAGCGAACATGCAGAGAGCAGTTATGACTCACAGCATGCAAAAATAATTTTGAGATATCCTATACTATTGTACATTTTTTCCCTAAGAAAGATAATAATTATTTTTCTTAGAGTAACTTAAACCTCCCTTCACCACATTTACAAATCATTCTGTTTTTTCCACTGGGAGGGAAAATAAGAGACAGTGAGGGAATGGAAACAGGGAAAAATATTTTAAGGCACATCTTGGAAAGGAATGAGTCTTAGTCAAATTAATAGCCAGAGTGAAAATAATGAGAAAGAACATTTCACATATGGGAGGTAACTGTCCCTTCCCTATATTTAACTGACAGATTGAGAGAGGATGACAGCCATAACTGGAAGTTTAGAAAAAGCATGCAGAATTCAAGGCACTGTCTGGGCATATAGATCTAAGAAAGGCTGCAATCCAGAAATCCTAATGTATCTCCTCTGTCAGGGATAGAATATTACAAGATGAAGAATTGGAAATCATTTTTGGAACTTGCAAGTTTAGTTCCCTCTGCCGGCTCAAATGCATAGCTCCTATGTATTTAAGAGCTCTATGCATTTGTATGCAAGAGCTCTATGTATTTAAGCTCTATGCATATGTATTTATAAATACAAATCCTATGTATTTGTATTTAGTTGTGAGGCTGGTAAGGACTATACTTGCCCAAATTCATATTATCGACCCTCAATGAGCATGAAAAAGCTAGTCCTATTCTCCACACAGACTCCAGAAATTAACAGCCCAGTGCTCTCAGTCACACCCATTAGTCAAAAAACAACAGCCAACAAAATATAATAAAGCCTTATTATAAACAATATAAAATTATTATTTTTTGCTTGGGCTTACCTATAAGGAGGATTGGATTGTGCTAATGATGGCAAGTGCCCTACTCCCATGGCAATGAGAAATGCCTATATTTATTTATTTTATGATTCCAGAAGTATAATGGGGTTACTATATTTTGGTGGTATTTCTATGGTTCATATACTACCAATGACACTGTTCCATTTACATCTCTTAGAATGAAGAGTAAATTATGGCTTCCATTTAAGGTTATTTATTTACTTATTGTTTTTGCCTCAGCTGAGCCCATTTCGCAGGGAAAGCTCTTCTCTATATGCCTATAACTATTCATGTGTCCAGATTCCTGGGTACATCTGTAGTGAATTAAATGATAGATTTGGGCAACAATTACTCTATTTCATTTTATACGCAATTATGTGTTCTCTGAAAGTTTATCAATGCTTAAATAACTCCCCCATCTTTGTACATTGTCAGGATTTGAAGTTTTAATGTCAACAATACTCTTTAAGTGAGACTCTCCAACTAGATATATTGAACCTTGCAAACTGTGTTTTAGGAAAATGAGGGATTAAAGAGTAGAATTTAAAGCAGGGGCTTAACTCTCCAAAGCAGCAGTTGTACCAAAAGAATAAAACAAATCAATCCTTTTCTTTATTCAACAAGACAACAGGGGAAGGAATGTTAATTGCCCAGTTCTATTCTGTTTGTGCCAACAGATCTACAAAGCCATCCATAACCACACTTTGCAAATATTGGAGGTCAAGATTCAGATAGCAGCTAATGTGAATAAATTATGAAGGCCTTTTTCATGAGTAAATAAACATTTTTAGTCTTTTCTGTGGATGGAAAGATGATTTATTTGAGGAGAAACTAACTTTTTAGCAAAGGGTTTGGTCAAGCAAAGACAAAACAAAATTTGACAAGATTTGTGTGCCAGTATCACTGAAGTTGGAATGTTGTGGGAAAAATATTGTCAGCAAACTAACCGAGCAATTTTAGGAGTACTGCAGGAGGGCAAATGACTATTTAAGACAGGGAAATAACAATCTTACAATTTTCTTTGTAGCTACAATGGCCCCTATGCCTGTGCTGTAGCTTGTCTCTTCACTTTGCCTTGGATATACAAAAGTTGTAAATTAAAGCATAGTTGAATATATCAGTCTTTTCCTTTAGGGCTTGTGCTTTTTGCATATTGTTTAAAACATCCTTTCCTATCAGAAGGTCATTTAAGATATTTAAGTTATCTCCCTTAAATTTATAAAATATCTTTCATATTAGCAAAATGCCTTGGGGAAATAAAACAGGCATCTGGATAATTCAGGCCAAAAAGTACCTTTATGTAAAGTATGAACAGCTAAAGATAGCAGGAATGTTCATTTTAAATTCTCAAAATAAATCTCAATTCTCCCTTTGATTTTTCAAAGTAGTCCTAGCCAAAGTTCACAAAAAAGGTCCCCCTTCCCCCTTTTTAAGGAAAATGTCTAAGTATTTTTGTACTATGCACCTAGTTGACAAATTTTTCCCTTGAAGTCTCTGAATCTTCAAGTTGGTGATGTATGAATCACAATGAAAACTCCTGTGTAAATTACTCAAGAAAAAAGGAAAATTCCAAATTCTATTATTATGGCTACTCACATATTATCCTATAGGAAAACTTGAATCCCAAGTCTGTGATGTGTGCATTTGAGTAGAAGTTAAGCAACACTGGGCCCATGATGGTGAGAGGCGCTAGGATCTCTTCGCCACACATGGTAGCAATAGGCGTGGAAGAGAAGCTGGTACCCCTGATAATGTGCACCCCGTCATTGGCACAGCTTCCTGTGACGGCTGAGTGAGCTGTACAAAGCACAAAACAACCAGCATTATGATCAGAAACAACATAAACAATTGATGCTGCAAATTTTAGAACAAAAATGTTATGACAATTCATGCAACTGACAGTGAAATTAAAATGAGTCAAGAGATATTTGGTAAGTTATTATTTAACTGTGTTTCCTGATGAAAAGATTTTTTCCCTCATTTCAAAAGAAGGACAGGCATGAGAAAATAGGTAGAAATTCTCAATAGGTAAATTTCACTATGAAACAATCTAGAATTTTCTTCCTTTATGAAATAGTTCCTTTAATTCAGTGATTATAAACTAGGGACAATTTTACGTCCCAAGGGACGTTTGGCAATATGTGAAGACATTTTTTGCACCATACTGGGGAGTGGGAGGCCAGGAATGCTGCTAAATATGCTGCAATGTAGTCCCTAAGCCTCAGCTCTCAAACTACAAAAAACTACCCAGCCCCAAATGCCAATAGTTCTGCCATTGAGAGAGCTTAGGTACAGATAAGAGACTCCTACCATGGAGAAATCATTAGAAATTCCTTAATGTTTATTGAACAACCGTTTTAAATAGTTACACAAGCAAAATTAGCTTAAGGGTTTAGTGATTGTAAAAATACATATCATTGTTTTCAAATTATAAAACGAATATATACTCCAATCTTCCATCCCCCAAAGAAAAATATAAAACAGAATAAACAAGAAATTCAAAAGACTTTTATTAGTACAATTTATTCAGTCATTTTTACAAGTTAAAACATTAATTGAGATCATACAGAGCACAATCTTTTGTAACCTCATTTTATTAACATAAAATTAACGCCGTACATTTTATTAACATCATACATTTTCATGTGATTATATATTCTTCTAAAATTGTATTTATGCATATATCAAATTCCAACACATACATGTGTCATCCTATATTCAATCAGTCCCCTACTGCTCAGTAATTCTATCTTCTCCACATTCTTCTGACTAAAAATATTGTCAAAACAAACATTCTGGTACATCAATATTAAAGGTCTTTTCTAATTATTTCAGTAGAATAAATTTTGAGTTTGGGTTACTAGTGAGGCGAGATTCTTTTTCAGGTTTATCAAATTGCCCCTTGGAAAGGAATTACCAATTCACACTCCCACAGAACTTTAGTGATTTAACATTCTTCCCAATTCTAATTTTCATCACCCCATAGAGAAACCTCCTACCCATTAGCAATCACTCCCAGTCTGGTCCTCCTTGTTTACCACTCTCCCAGCCTGAGACAACCACTAATCTATTTTCTGTTTCTATGGATTTGTGTATTCTGGACATTGCATATCAGCAGAGTTATATAATATGTGACCTTTTGTGACTGACTTCTTTTACTTCATATAATGTTTTTGATGTTCATCCATGTTACATGTAGCATGTGCCAGCACTTCATCCCTTTTTATGGCTAAATAATATTTCATTGAATGGCTATACCACATTTATTATCCGTTCATCAATGTTTTTGGCTATTACAATAATGCTGCTATAAACATTCATGTACAAGTTTTTGCGTGGACATATGTTTTCAATTCTCTTAAATATATAACTAGAAGTGGAATTGCTGGTTCATACAGTAACTCTATGTTTAACATTTTGCGGCCCTGCCCTATGGTTTTCCAAGGTGGCTGTACCATTTTATAACCCCACCCACAGTCTAGCAGTGTTCCAATTTCTCCACATTCTTGCCAATATTTGTTTTTGCCTGCCTTTTTTGTTACACCTATCCTAGTGGGTGTGCAGTGGTAGCTCACTGTAATCCTGATTTGCACTTCCCTGATGGTTGATAGTGCTGAGCATCTTTTCATGTGTTTATTGGCCATTTGTATATCTTCTTTGAAGAAATGTCTATTCAGATACTTTGCCATTTTTTTTTTTTTTGTCTTTTTCCATGTCCGGCAACGGATCGCAACTCTCAGTGTCGCCCCCGCACCAGACCGGGACCGGCAACGGGACCGCAACCCTCGGTGTTGCCCCTGCGCCTCGCTCAGCCAGCGAGCGGGAACCAGTCTGTACATGGGATCCGAACCCTCGGGCGGGAGCGCTGCCACGCTTCCCAAGCGGTGCACTATCCAGTGCGCCACCGGGCCGGCCCGATACTTTGCCATTTTTAAATTGGGTTGTCTTTCCATTGCTGAGTTGTAAAAGTTTTTATATATTTTGGATACTAGTATTGTCATGTTTTTATTTCTCTTGGATAAATACCTAGGAGTATAATTGCTGTGTTATAAATTAGGTGTACATTTAATTTTATAAGAAACTGCCAATCAGTCTTTCAAAGTGGTTACATCAGTATACATTCTCACCAAGAATATATTAGACTTCCAGTTGCTCTGCATGCTTGCTAACATTTGATATTCTCAGTCTTTTTAACTTTAGCCATTCTGGTGTGTGTGAAATGGTATCTTATTGTGATATTTAATTTGCATTGCTCTGATGACTAAAGATATGGAATACTTTTCTCAGTCTCACTGGCAAACAACAAAAAAAATTTTTATTTCATGTAGATACTAACTTGAACCTGTATCTAACAGCCCCCTTCTCCCATCACACAAACTTTTACCTATTTACAAATTCCCCATTGGAAATGGCCCAAACTGCATTACAATATTTTATATGTACATACTACATACAATGGTGTAGTGGACTCTGAAATCAGACTGTTTGCTGTTAGAATACTCTACTTATAAATTGGGGATATCATGATACACATTTATGATTTCAGTTTCCCAGGCCATAGACCTTGGTTCAAGGGTGGGCATGTGACCTAAGCCAATCCAATAAAGATAAATTTCAAGACCCCTGTTTGGAATTTTGAATAAAGGTGGTAATGTGCTGGTAAATATAACCACCAACTCTCTGAGGGGAAAAAATAATTCCTGGTTTGTGGCATTTGCCAATTTCCATGGTGTAAATATACCTACCATAGCCAATTTCGGGCTACTAACACGAGGTTATGAAATGCAGAACTGGGAACAGACCAGCAAAACTGTCTTGCAAGATGGTGCAAGCCAACTCCAGCATACCACCAGATAGATACCATCTTTCTTCCTGGATGTGGATGAGGGGCACCTCCTCCCCCTCCCCCGCTGTGCCCTCTGTGAGGGCAGCTACCCTACAGTCATAAGAGCTAGCCTTAGGGTGAGGCTCACACTGGAGCAGCAGAATAAGAATAGAGACAGTAGAATATTTGAAGACATCATTAATATGATGGATTAAACATATCTGATGCACTTTGAGAACAACTTTAAGACCTTTCAGAAGTAAAAATTGTCCTTTTGTGTTTAAACAGGTCGAATTAAGTTTCCTGTTAATTGTACCACAAGAATTGCTAATCAATATGGTAGCTATTTTTATTATTATGACAGTCATCATTACTATTGTTTATAGAACCCCACTGTCCTGAACACTGTTGATAAATTGATTGATTACTCCAAGGCATGACATCAGACTCAATGGAGGCCAATCAGATGTGTTCAAACTGTAATGGAGTAAGAGAGAGTCAGTAGTAGGAGCCAAAGAGGTCAACCTTGGAAAACATCAGCAGCTGTGTTTACTGACACATGAAGAAAGCCAGGTGGCAATAAGGAAAAAGAGAAGTTGTGTTGCAGAAAGCAGCAAAAAGAGGGGGGAAGAGAGAGCATGCTGGGTTCTTGTCCCTGGTTTCCCTGGTTCTAAAAGTCCATTACTCCCTTTCTTATTTTTAAACCTTTTTTTGATGAGATGAGATAACGCAGTATCCTTTCTATAAACTCTACTTTATATCTAAGTCAACTGGAAGATAACCTACCACTTTTAAGTCAAAGAATCTTGACAAATACATCCCCTTTTACATTTCTGTACATTAGAGCCTCCACCCCTTTTGAGTGTGAGTATTATCTTAGAGAAAATTGATATTGTAAGTCTTAAGTAATTTTAGGAACACATTTGGCTCCTTAACTAAGTTTTTATCCAGTCTCAAGAAATAAATGTAAGATATATTTATTAATTTAACCTCAAAGAATTCCCTTATTTTGAAAATCCCAGAATAGAAATGCTTCTAATTGGGCATAAATCTACAAGTTAAAAGTTGAAATACTTAACTTCAATGACCTTATCATTTAATTAGAAGTGATAAGATTCTGGAAAAATAGGACAAAGAGGAAATAGATTAAACTCAGATTCTTGACTTGAATACTGCCAAATTATATACTTTAATTATAATCTCCAAATTTGTCTTCAAGACGCCAAAACCTCCATTGGAATTTTAAAAATTCAGAGTATATGAATTTGAGAATAAAAATAATATTATGCATTAGTTATAGCAATATATTTTGGTTATCAGAAATATATAAAGTTGTAAAACTAAAATCACAGAATGCAGGAAAATATTGCTGATGCTTGATTAAATTCTTGGTCCCACGTTTGGTCAAATGGCCTCTATGAAGGTGTGCTTTAAATATTAAGGAGTTATATTTTTAATTGTCAGCCTAATAATATAGACTATCACGGTGGTAGTTTTCTTAGAAAATTATGGAAAGGATGTGAAAGATAGGGTACAGTGTGTCTTATACTTGATTATGTTTCCAAATAATTAAAGGAACAAATTCAGTTATAGAGAGTTCATTCATGAAATAGCAGTGGTATACTGAGATGTAATCAAAACCCGTTAACTATTTATAAAAGGTCTAGATTCAACAGTAAGAAAGTTGGTTGGGGAGATGCAGAGAAAGTTGAGAGGAGATTTTAATTTTCTTGTAGATGGCAATAGGATATCAAATAACTGAACAAATTATTCAAGACAATTTGCCCATTCTCAAAACCTGATTCAGTAAAATGAGAAAGTTATAATATTTGGCAAGTTGTTTCATGGATCAAAACATTCTTATCTCCTTTTCAGTAATCATTTCTTTAAGATAGGATGTCCTTCCACATTTGTCCATAAGAAATCAAATATCTACATAATATCAGAACTTCATAAAGTTACCTAAAGCCTA